TAATGTTATTTTTAGTGATCTCCGACTGGCGAAGTCGAACATCATTAGCGCCAGCGTGAATAACAATCTTACTGTATTTACGTTTAGCATTAGCCAGCACTTTTAATTTTGCTACTGTGCTACGTCCGAACTGACTGCACTATATTTTATGTATAATCATTTTCTATTTTTAACTGTTTTAAATTCGATTTAAATCAATTTTTAAATCATTTTAAAAGTTTTTAAATTCCTTGTTTTATTGTTGTGATTTGTTTACGATTATTTTACTTCCATTTATTTAAAGCACTTTGAATTACAATTGTGTAGGAAATGTGCTAGATAAATAAACTTGCCTTGCTTTGCATTGCTCAGGCAATCCATCTTATGAACACTTGACAATAAACGTGGAACACACAACACTATCATTCATTTATTTATTTAACAAGCATACTTATTTACATTTCGAATTTGCACATAACATACCTGTACAAAATTGTCTATTTTATGTATTGTTTTTGCTATTTTGTACATTGTCTATTTTATATATTTGTATATTATTCTTTTTGTTATCTGTGTCTTGTCTTGTCTTGGCACTGTCATTCTGTTGCACTGTGGAGCTTCTGTCACTAAAACAAATTTGTTGTATGTGTAAACATACCTGGCAATAAAGCTCATTCTGATTCTGATTCTGATCTGCAGCATCCACAAATGTTTGATGCAAGATACCTAAAGGTGTTTCCAAAACATTGTAAGAAATGCGAAAATGCTGACATTTCTGCACGGACAGAGTAACTATTCTCTCTGTCCGGTGGTATAAGTCTTTCTGACTCATTGTATTGCTCTTCTCTGTCATCTGCTTCCTCTCTATTTCTTATCTCTTCCTCTTGTCTGAATCTCTGAGCTTCTTGAAACATATGATTACTGTAGTGTCCTCCTCCATTCTGCTCTATCATTGTGTCAATCTTCTGCAGTAGATCATACACCTGCTCTCTGTTATTCTCATCTTTATTGGTGAAGACGTGAAATCTGCCCTGACATCTCTCTACAATTGGTCTCAATATATTATGCCCATTTACCTCTGTACCAAATGTCTCTGGGTCAATATCATCCCCATTTGTGAAGAGGATTATAAGATATGTCAGCACATCTTCACCAAAAATCATTTGAATTTGTGCCAATACCTGTTCCTCCTGCTTTGTGAATCTGTCTACAGGAAGTACAAATAAGAATGCATGAGGTCCTGGTGCAGGCAGAAACACACTATTTGCCATCTCCACTGTCATCTTCTCCCGTGGAAGTGTTGTGTCAAAAAACCCAGGAGTGTCAATGACAGATAAAGTTCTGCCTTTAACAACTGACCTCCCAACACTACAACACTTTGTTACAGAGTTCAGACTTTTTTTATATTTGAATATGCTTTCTCCCAATATAGTGTTTCCTGCTGAACTTTTCCCAACTCCTGTTTTCCTCAGAAGAACAATCCTTAGTTCAGTAGGTTTGCTGCTGCTCTGTGCCTGCAGTCCCACTGGTGAGAAAAACTCATGTTGGTATATGCAGAACATAATCTATTGCCTTTTATTGCTTGTATGTACACAATAAAAGTGTTTGAAAGCACTAATTTGAAAGCAAGTAGTAAATTTAACATGCTACATTTGTTTTTAATAAACTTTGTATAAACATACCAATTTACACATAGCAGCTACATTTTTTTTAAATGCACGTTTTTTTCTTTTGGCCATTGCATTTCACATGATGGGCAAAATTCTGAAGAAGAGCCATCCTTTTTCTGTCAAAAGTGTTTTATGGTATAGAATTAAAGTGGCTCTAGGGCAAATATAAATATACTAACCTAAGCTTCTGACACTCAGAGCCAGCTTTCAGTGACCTGGGGTTTATAGATGAGTTAATGGGCATTTGAGCAAATGTGAATTTATTTATTTTATTTTTTTCAATTTTAGATCTTTTCTTCAGATTAACAAATATATTGTTTTGTTGCATGGCGTCTGTTTTGTGAGACTTCCTGAACTTTGGCTTCATGCGAAATAGTTTAATAGGTCTTAAGTTGCATTGAAACCAGAACATTCAATTAATTACTGTTAATGCCTTATATTAGAAATGACATTTTGTTGTCCATGTAACCATTTCAGCAGAGCATAAATAGAAATTGAAAAATTTTTTAGTGCACATAAACTTACTGCTTGGATGACCAGCACTCTGAATTTGCCCCCTTCTTCTCACTGGAAAACAAGGCACACATGGACACAAACACATAGAAACAGAAGTTTATTCTTTGTTTCTTTTTCTATTATTATCATTTAAATATTTTATTTCTTATATTTCAAACGTCAAACATTTTCTTTATGGTTTTAGTTATAATTACTAATAATCCTTTCCTTGATATTTATTTATTTAGAAGAGAAATTGAGACCACATTATTATTTATTGTGCATGATTGTGATCTGTGCGTGTCAATGTGGCAAATATATTATTAATAATTGTTGTTCAAGATTACCTGCTCTATTTGAAAGCTGAAGTCCTCCGTAATTGCTAGCCTATGAGATAATTAAATTAACAGACACATTCATCATAAAATACTATAATAATTTGTCTTGCTCTATAAAAGCAAGTGTTAAAGCAAAATTGTAAATGTATGTATGTGTGATTATAGAAAATTAAATGCTTATTCATATTTTCTATCTACCATTGTCCCTTGTTGTTTCGTCCTTAGCTGAGTTTCATAAGCTGTATTTCAGAAAAAGAAAGAAAGAAAACAATTCACCATTATACATTGGCAAAAAATTATCTAGTGAACAGAAACAAATATAAATATGTTAAACAGAACATCAAACCCCTTCAGTTCCTCTTTCACTTCATTTCATTTAGTTCAATCACTGAACAAACAACACAAATAATAATCAGCACAGATTATCTGTGAGCTTCATCAGTCTGCCCCGCTGTAAACTGAGCTGCTGGAATTCCAGACTGATTTATCATTGTACGATTTTATGTGGATCATCTTTTTTATGGCAAATACCTGACATCATTCCACATTACAAAAAGGAATATCAAATCTAGTGAAATATTTGCACATTCACGGGTATGATGCTTGAAGCTGGGTAAATAGACATTACTTTGCTGAAAACTGTGTCAAATTTACTAACTAAACTTTAATAAACTCAAGTTCATTAACAGTGTGAATAACTATGATTATAGCTACAGAAAAAAATTATTATGATAATGTCTTTATACTGTTAATGTATGCTGTTTATACTGTAAACAACAATGTTGTTAAATCTGCATATATAGTGTTTTATGGTGCTTAATTTCCTACACCTTCTACCTAGTTTTAATTATTCTCAGGCTAGGTAAAGTAAGTAAAATCTGTCCTATCTCATACGTTTTTGGGTTTTCATACTTACAAAATAGATCACAGAAGACTTCTTCGTGGTCTGTTCTGCTCTAGTTCAGAGTCTTTTGGCAGACGGGCTTCTTGGTTATAATTAGGTATATTGTATTGTCTACAGGATAAATACTGTACATACAAAATACTGATATAAAAACAGAAATAAAAAACAAAAGCAAATAATTTACAAGCTTTGTTGGTCAGAGGCATCAATGGCAAGGCAGGCTCTGGCACCGGAGAAGCTGTTCCAGTGAATCAGCATCTGACTTAATCATCGCAATTCAGTCTTTTATAGACAGCCGGTGGATTCCAATGTCTTGTGACGTCATGAGTTCTGGAAATCCCCTAAGAAGTTGTTTATAAAAAACAATTTTGCTGCTGCCTTCTGCTTCTGCTTTTCTTTAGCAAAGCTCTTAACATGTTTGTTCTCTGGCTATGCTGTGGTCCATTCGCCACGGGGCCCCCTCAAGCGCAGTTGCACCCCCCTAAGGACGTCCCTGTTTATGCCCCCTTTTAATGCCCTCTGATTGACAGGTTGGTCAAATAGGATTGATCCTGTCACCCCTGGCTAACAGGTACATGTATGTGTTTACATGTTGTGGCATGTGTGTGTGATGCCACGTAGTGTCACATTGGTACATGTGGTGACATATCCTCCAGTGGTGATGTCCGGACATGTTAAAGAAAACAAAAAGATCAAACAGATGTTAGATTTGGATTTATGATGTTTTATCTCTCACATGTGCCATGGTATTTTTATCAAGTTGTTCCTTCCTGACCCGTCGCTCACTTCCAGTCTGAAGGTTTTTGGGTTCTTCTTGATTGTGGAAAAATGGCTAAGCAAAGGGTGTGTATTGTCAGCTCAACAGGATCAGTGTGTTGTTTGATCAATACGGTATATGTTAATGCATAGTCACCAATTTGTCCCTACCGGCCCATCTACATCCACCCCCCTGAATAAGGAGGTTGTCTGGGCGTCTGGCTTCCATGTTTATGTTTTAGGTTGACACCTTTGGTGGATTGGTGTCTAGACACCAGAGCCCAAAGCTTCTCCCCTATCTGTTTCCTACCGTGATGTAGTCGGTGTCTGATATAATGATTTAATATGTTTGTTAACGGGGATGTGCTTTGTTTGGGGGTTGGAAGACATCCAAGCACGTGTCCATCTCAAACCCCTAAACGGTTCAGTTCTGCTTGATCTGTAGGCTAAATGTTGATAGCTAAGACATCACTGTTTTAATTGTTTGCAACAATACTGGAATGCTCTGGCAATACAAATTTACAAAATATTTTTCATGCCAATAAAGCATCTCATGCAAAAACAAACAAACAAACTGAAAACTGAAACATAGAATTAAAGAATTCACCAAGACCATATTTCTATATGCGTCTGAAAAATGTTATGTCCGGGCATGTTCTTTCTACGTCACCTCTATGTGTGTATGCTAACACCTCTGTAGGATAAGAACAGCCTAATCTGTAGGTTGAATACATAAACTTATGAGAAGCAGTCTTAAGTAAAAAATTATTCAACTTCCCTGCCCACCGTCCCTATCCATTTCTTTCTAACAGTGAAGGTGTCTAACTGACAGTGGATGCGAGCACCCTCTATGTGCTTGTGTTAATGGCTTTACAACACTGTTAAAAATTTAGTTCGCCAGTAACTTACTGTAAATTAAACTTACAGTAAAAGTACTGTATTAATAATTACAGTACCATTTAACTTGCTGTAAATGTATTTACAGTATGTATACTGTACTTTTAGTTTTTACTGTAAAATATACAGTAATTTTATGGTCTTTTCTTCAGTAACGTATTGAAATACAAGAAAACACATTTTTTAATTATTTTATGAAAATAAGCAATGACAACTGTGTAACTTTAAATTTTTTTAATTGTTCAATTGTAATCCTTGCAATAACATTTTAATATTTTCACAGATTCAGTTAAGACTCAAACAAAACATTGTTACAAACTATTATATATATTACATACTATTCTAACTATTATAGGTAAAATTCTTAAAATTTATCCTAAGCACAACATATTATGATAATAGTGAATAGTGACGATAGTGAATCTTCAAAAAGAACTCAAACTTTTGTTACACACAAGAAGCATGGACTATTTTTTTTTCAAAGCTGCCAGCTGAAATCCACAAACTCTTTAATGAAGGAGGACACATGAGGGTTCAGGCCAGAGTTTCTCCTTTGCACCATCTTCCCACTTCTTTTGCTGATCTGGAATTTTGCAGAGCACGTGCTGTTGACAGGATTGATCCTCGCAATGAACCTTCACATAAAAGAAATAATTCATTAGACCATTTCATTTTCTTTGTAAAGA